GACATTTGTAGGGGAAACATATGCGTGGAGGTAAGAAATATAATGGAATGGTGCGGTGAAAACGAAATGGAAAGGCCAGAGAAAGGGGAACACTAAGACAAGAAGTGGTTGAGAGAGAGAGAGAGAGAGAGAGAGAGAGAGAGAGAGAGAGAGAGAGAGAGAGAGAGAGAGAGAGAGAGACAGAAAGAAATGGAGAGACAGAAAGAAATGGAAAGAAACAAAAAGAGAGGGGGGAGAGAGAGAGAGCGAGAAAGAAAGAGAGAAAGAGAGAGAGAGAGAGAGAGTGAGGGAGAGAGAGAGAGAGAAAGAGAGAAAGAGAAAGAGAGAGAGAAAGAGAGAGAGATTCAAACCACATTTGCAGAGGGACTGGAAAAACTCATTTTTTTAAAACCCCAGCAAAGCGCAGAAGTACCCAATTCATGATTTGCACCAGCGCCATACTACACATCACGACCCAGGCACAGCACCATCACACACAAAAGAAAATGAATACAATTTTTAATACTGAATGTTTCTTTACAATGTTATCATAAAAGCAATCACATTTTCAAATAGTGATAACCAGTTTTTTCAAAGTTTCAGTAGAGGTTCTACGGCGCTCGCAACTGCATAAGGTCTTATGAGCGCCAGAAGATTAGAGGTGTTACAAGAGAGTAACAAACATAAAAAAGTAGGGGAGATAAGGACGGCAGATGTTTCATAGGAAAGAAGAAGCAAACCACACCAGAGCACCCGCCAACCACCCACATAACCAGTCTGTTCGTTCGAGCAATGAGAAGGACATCGACACAATAAAGACAACTCATGTATTGGAAAGAGTAAGATAGACAGGTAGACAGATAGACAAAAATAAAAGATAGTTAAAAAAACGAAGATATGAAACCAACTGCTTGTACCAGTGACACCCTTCAACCACCGAGCCAGAGACAGAACAATAAATGAACTAAAACTAGTATTAAAATTTAGACGAATTAATCTCTCTCCCTCCCTCTCTCTCCCTCCCTCTCTCTCCCTCCCCCCCTCTCTCTCCCCCCCCTCTCTCTCTCTCTCTCTCTTAAAACGTTTTTAAAAAGTTAACAAGAAAGATTGAGAAAACTGAGAGGTGAGAGGAGGAATGTAAAGTTTAAAAAAAGTAATTAACTAAAGTCAGTAAATGTTTTAATAAAAAGTCAAGTCAAGTCAAGTCAAGTCAAGTCAAGTCAAGTCAAGTCAAGTCAAGTCAAGTCAAGTAACGTTACCTTTAGCAGAATCCTGTGCACACGGCTGGTGGCTTTCACTTAGCTCCTGCCAGCCACAGCAGAACAATCACAACAACAACAACAACAACAACAACAACAATAACCACGTCATTTTCGCTCCATGTTTCGGAGATGGGATGAAGAAAAATAATCTCCCCTTTTTCTCACAGGCCGCGCACCACATCACACATCGCGGGGAGTTGCAATAGTAATAATAAT